GGCCTCACCAGCACTGAGCAGAGGGGAAGGATCATCACCTCTCTCAACTGGCAACGCTTTGCCTAATACAGCCCGGGACGCCATTTGTTGCCTTTGCAGCCAGGGCATGTTGCTGGTTCATGGCCAACTTGGTGCCCACCAGGACCCCTGAAGCCTTTTCTGCTGAGCTGTTTTCCAGCTGGGCAGCCCCCAGCATGTACTGGTGCTCTGGGGTTGTTCCTGCCCAGGGGCAGGACTTTGCACTTCCCCTTGCTGAACTTCATGAGGTTCCTGGCAGCCCATTTCTCCAGCCTGTCCAGATCCCTCTGCACTACAGAGCAGCACGACCCGCTGGTGTACAGCTGCTCCTCCCAGCTCGGTGTCATCTACAAACTTGCTGAGGGTACACTCTGCCCCATCCTCCAGATCATTAATGAAGACGTTAAATGGGACTGGACCCAGTATTGACCCCTAGGGTACACCGGTCATTAATGGCTTCCAGCTAGACTTTGCGCTGCTGGTCCCCACCCTCTGGACCTGGCCACGCAGCTAGTTTTCAATGCACCTCACTGTCTGCTCATCCAGCCCCCACTTCCACAGCTTCTCTAGGAGGATCTATGGGGACACTGAGTCACAAACCTTGCTGGAGTCTGGGCGGACAATGTCCACTGTGCTCCCCCTGTCTACCAGGCCTGCCACTTCACCACAGAAGGTGGTCGGGTTGGTCAGGCATGACCTCCTCTTGCTGAAGCCACGCTGACTTCTCCAGATGACTTTCTTGTCCTTCACATGCTTAGAAATGGTTCTCAGGAGTAATTGTCTCATCACCTTCCCAGGGACGGAGATGAGGCCGACCTCCGGTACCCAAACAGCCCCCCCATTTGAAAGCAGCCTCCCTTGCATTAACAGTTGCCACACGTCCAAACAGTCCCCCCATACCCGAGCAGCCCCCCTGTATGCAAGCAAGTCCCCCATAACCAAGCAGCCTCCTGGACCCGATCACCCCCCTCCATCAGTCCCCCCCGGGGTTCCCAGCACAGCCCTGGCAACCCCGGCACAGCTGGGTCTGCCGCCCAGCGCTTTCACTGGGCCTCAGGGGGGCCGAGCGGCTCCGGCCCCACGCAGTCTCGGCTGGACCCGCGGGGTCACCCCCCCCACTCCCCACCCCGTGCCTTTGGCTGGTGTCTCAGTGGGGCCTCCCCGGCCGCCCCCCGCCCCCGCCGGTGCCCGGGACGGTGGCACCGCCGGGCGGGAGCTCTCAGCCCCGGGGAAGGGCCGCGCTGCCGGCGCTCCTCCGGGGCAGAGCCGGGGACCCCGGG